ATATATATATACATATGCATACATAAAAGCATGCGCATATGCAGCTACAAAATCCTTCGTTCATGTGCTGCAGATACAACCATGCTTGAGTGAAAGGGTCGACCCCGTCTCCTTGAACGAAAGGTGGAGGACGCCGAAATGGCCAACGCTCCACCTGCGACAGAGGCCTGCTTTAGGGAATGGCAACTGGGGATGCACTGCAGGGTTGCACCAGGGTGCCGCCGTCACGGAGGCATCCGACGACGACTTGCAGCAACAGCTGAAGCGCGCACAAGAGGCCTTGCAGGCCNNTGAGAGCAGTTTGTGCACAAGACGTTATGAACATGCTGTGCTGTGCCCTCGCCTTGCCTCATGTGCCACACATGCTATTGGTAGAGTGCAGCAGTTGGGAGTAATTACTCTTACAAGCATGTTATAGCAGGCACAGGAGCTGCAGAACGGCGACAGTGTTTAGCGAGGTCGGTTTTGGTTCAGAGTTTGGGATGGCTAAGGACTTTTGGTTCAGTCTAGCTTCCAGATGACGCTTGAAATTTGAGACAGTATCTACGGTTCGATTTCTCCTGCGTGACCATATCTGTGCGACTTGCATGTCTTTTCAGTTTTATGGGGCCACGCCCAGCCAGACGACCCATGGGGCTGGACACGGCCACGATAGCAGCAACAGCAGCAGCAGCAGCAGCAGCAGCAGCAGCAGCAGCAGCAGCAGCAGCAAGAATTGAAGAAACTGATACATCCAAAACAGCAGCGGCAAGGGCAGTACTGGAAGCATGTGCTCCACCGTCAGTCCCGCTGCCACTAATGTAACCACCGCATGGCCACCCCAACTGCCCCATCACCACCGCCGGCATCAGCCGCAGCACGGCCAACTCTCAACCAACCAACCAACCGAACATGCAACACTGATGTCTAGTCTTCAAAAAGGCTGGATCTTGGATAGATACGGTTGGTATGAAGAACAAGTCAGCATTCGAACCACTCAGCATTCCACGAAAAAAGTACAACACCTGGGAAACCCAACAACTGAATGTTCATAACGGAGAGATCTACAGAATCAACGAAGCACCGCAGAAACCGCAAACTGTTTTGAAACATCCGCGCATCGTAACGGAAAAGGATTTCGGATGTTCTTTCAGAAACAGGGCTCAGGGTTGCAGCGGACCATCAAAGTCTCAGGCCCATTGCAACAGCCGGCTGAAGCAGAAAAGATTCAGCGACGTGGTTACACATGATGTATGGACATGCCGGGTTGTTGCAGACGGCAATCACAGCATTGTAAGAGCTTTGTTAACTAACACCGGCAGCGAGCTGCTGTTAAACGACCAGGCGTTTCTTTGTAGAAACCATGACAGCGAGTTTGGGGATCCATGCAACAGCTCACTCTAAACCTATTACAGTAAACTGCCAACCCCCCGCATGCAATCAATCCGAAGCCTGAGCCCCAGATTGATGCACAGTCTCAAACACCTCATTAGGGACGCAAAACGCCCCAAGCCCTCAAGCCCAAGCTGTTCGCATACCTCGCTCTAAGTACAGCCCTGTGATACCCTACATGCTGACACCCTCTGCCCCCCCGCAAGCCTCTGCGCTTCGGTATGCACCTTTCTACACCCGACAACCTCAGAGCCATGGCTGCAATCGTGAACTCTAACCCTGGAGCTATGCATGTCCCCTTCGCGCCTCAACTGTCTCGCCTGGTGCTGTCCCAGTGTGACAGTCCTAGGCGTATAGTCCTTATTAAAAGGATACTATGCAGGTTTTAAGGTTCTTGGGGACCAGGGCCGAGGGTTTAAGATTTGAGGGGTTTAGATTCACTGCCAAACAGGCTGCACCCGAAGGGCAAGCAAAGCAAGCAGACTCTTGGCATTGCAGTTGGCAGGTGAAACAGGGCTTGGGTGTCTGGGCTTGGAGATGAATTATGAGGCGCAGGGGACTTAATAAGTAGGTTCTAAATGGAGTTATAATAAGTATTGTAAATGGAGTTACCCGAATTGTAACCCTACTTATAACCTACTTACTAAGTCCCCTGCTGGGCCTCTAAGTAGGGTTCTAGCAGTTCTAGCTTCAGGATTTGGTTCGCGGTGTTCGCCAAAGTGAGGGTTCAGACCTTTAGGGCTCAGGGAGTGGGGTCTTCTTTCGCAGGATCGAGATTTGGGGATTTTGGGGTGCAGATCGAAACACCCGTGCCATGCAAGCAGTCTTGCCCCAAACCCTACACCCTAGTTTGGTTTTTGAAGCCTAGGCCTTGTTTTGAAGCTCTTGGATTCCGGCATGACATCGGGTTCGATTCAACACAGATCTGTGTACTCCTGAATCAATGTGACTTAGAGTTGCTAGTTCTCTAAATTCGGGTCCCTTTTTTGGGCCCTCAAACTAGTACGGCACCCTTGCAAAAAGGACCTTAAAAGGGATCCTAATTTACAGAACTATCCAGGTTACCCAAGTACAATGTCGGTGGCTCACAGGTATACAGCTTCGGTACTGCAGAGTTCTTCCTGCGGAACCGTGCACTCGAAATCACTGCATCACTAGCCGGTTTAGGGTTTAGGGTTTAGGGTTTAGGGGTTTAGGGTTTAGGGTTTAGGGTTAGCAGCGTTAAGTGGCACGTCGAACCATTTGCAGGGGTGGGCGGGATTTCTCCTTCATCACACCGACCTACATGAGCAGGATGAACATTTTGCCGACTCCTGTCTTTTGTTCAAATGGAGGAATTGTTGACGTCCGGGCCTCAAATCCCCACTTCGTGAAGGAGTCAAGGGGGGAAGGGCGGGGAAGGGGGTTGCCAAGTATATGTTTGCAGAACTCCCCGTTGCGACGATCCTTCGTCCTGGCGCAATATTGAAGCGCACATGTACAGTTGCATTGACAAGCTGTTCGTGTAATATTTTTGAGATATACGACATCGTGTTGGAATTCGAGACATGACACCGCATACCTTCAAGCTTGCATCCGGATGCACATGGCACAGGCGGGCTCACTCCGGCCAAGATAAACCATCGTTGGTAGACTGTGAATTGCCTTGTGCATGGCAGCTCTTGCTTCTGATTACCAAAACACCCTTCCCCCTCCAAGGACAGCATCAAGGTTCCAAACAGAAAGGCGACGGAAAGAATTGAACCACATAATGCCACGAAATAGCACAAGCTAAGAGTCGTCCAGGCCGCTGCAGCTCTTGCACTTGCAGCTGTAGCTGCAGCAGCAAAGGCCGCAGCTCCAAAGGACGCCTCTAGCTTGATTATTCATGGGAGGTTCCGAAAATAGGGAGTACCTTATTTTGGGGTCCTTATAATAAGGATCCTACTATTTAGGGTACCATATAGGGGTCCCCTATTGGAAACCCCCTCATCACTTCAGTGAAGCAGAGCTCGGGTGGTTCAAGCAAAGGGTAAAGGGAGCTGCTGGGCACTGAGTTGTTCAAGAACTCAAGCCGAAGGAGACGTACTGCGAGGTTTGGATCTTCTATTAGACCTGTCATGTCATCATAGTACAGAAGGAGGAGAGAGTGCGAAGTTCAGTGAGCCAGCAAGTACGCCAGTACGTCGGGGCGTATGTAAGCACCCAAGCAACTGGAGTAGTGAGCCAGTGAGATGACTTAGTTACTTAAGTAAGCAAGCAAATACAAGTAAGTCAGACAGTCACGAAGGAAAAAGCAAAGAAGGAAGGAAGGAAGGAAGGAAGGACGGAAGGAAGCCAGTCAGCAAGTGAGTCGGTCAGTCAGTCAATCAGCCAGTCAGCCAACCAGCAAGTAAGAAAGAAAGAAAGAAAGCAAGCGACAAAGGCTGCTGAGCAAGTGAGCAAGCCCGTAGGTAAGAAAGTAAGTAAGTAAATAAGTAAGTAAGTGAGCAAGTAAGTAAGTAAGTACAGACGTGGGTAGGTTGGTAGCTAGTGCAGTAGCTAGGTAGCTAGATTAGTAAGTCGGTAGGTTGTAGTGATTCCACTGATTGCGTGCTTCCGAATGCAAAACTCCCAAACTTTGGAAAGTTATTTGATGGACCCACAGCCCCAAGCCAACACCTCGGGGCCATAATTCCTATAACCTTTCAGCCCTAACATTTTGATTCTCAACCAACCAAACCCTCCAGCCCAACAGCCGGAACCAAGCTGAAAAGAGAGGCCCCCTAAACCCCCTAAACCCAAACCCCAAGACCCAAGGCCGCCTATGATGCTGCACGCGCGCTCGTCGAGCGCGAGCTGGGTCAGTGTTTGACCAGAGCAGACGCTTGGCACGGCCGTTGTGGTTTTGACAAGCTTCAAGGCTGTCGGTTTAGGGACTTAGAGGTGTATCATGGCGGGCTTTTCGTCAGGTTTGCCGTTGAGGGTACAAGGACTTACAGCTTGAGGCTCCGATGGGGCATGTTTCTGCAGCAAGCGTTTTGAATCAAGAGTTTCAGGTGTATATCTCCGTACATGGCAGCGACTCCGGAAAGTAGGACTGGTGGAGTTTCGCATGACATTGGAGTCTTCTCGAACCACATATTGCGATTGAATGGCTCGCTGAGGAGGGTTCTGCATGCTGCTTCGCCAATGTCACTGCAAATCTTGAAATAAGGCCGTCTGAACTACGAGTAGAAAGTGGTGGACTCCCAGGCCTACAGTAGCATTTCAAAACTGCGGTGTTCTATCTCAAAGCTCGGACGGGTCTAACATTGAATGAAGCCGTCTGCTTGCCGGTGCATGCTTATTTGATCGCATCCTTCAACAACTGAACGTGTGCGTTCCATGAATGTTGAACAACGCAGGGCCTACGGCCTGAGGAAGAGGCAAATCAAGAATGGCAGGTCTTGCTGAGAATTTGAAGGATACCAATATCCCATACCCACTCGAAGAAATGATGAATTTTGTAGATGCTCCGCCTGCCAGAATGGCATGTCGAGTCGTCTTTAAACGTACCTTAGTCACCCTGCATCCATGAGCCTAGAGCCTGGCCTGAGCCCTCAGGCCCAAACCCCATAAGACAACCTGCTGTCTGGTGCTTAGTAGGGAATGGGGGAATGGATCCCTATGATAGTCCCTTAAAGGTCCCTTATAGTAGTCCCTATAACCCACTCCCCCATTCCCTACAAAGCACCAGACAGCCTGGCAAGCAAGGACACGGAAGACGATGTGGCAGGCGGGGTCGGGCTGCAGCTGAGTCGGGCGCAAAGTCATTTCGGTAATATCAGGTATGCCCGTTGACTCCAGAAGCATGCGAATTAGCAAGATCCTCCTGACACCAAGGGAGGCATACGTATGTTATTGTTTTTCGGGAAGTGCGACCGTAGCAAGGTTACCGCACGAAACGGTGTTGGTCGAAAAACTGCTCGCATCGGGATCTCAATCTCTGGTTGTCCTATACATCCTGGTTCCGTGCCCCACTGAGGTGCTCCACTTGTGGAGGAACAGGTGCTCTTGCAGCGCTATGTGTCTTTCCTTGAAGCTTTGTAGCACTGTCTCACTGTTTTCCGGACGAGTTCGATGTGAGCCCAGAGCCTCCCATAGGTCTTGGCGTTTTGTTGTTAAACTAGTTAGGCCTCCCAGGGAGTTTGTAAATCTCACTGGGTTTACTAGAATGCGGAATTTATGCAGAGGGTTGAGATTCAAGCATTTTATAATGGGGCAGGGATATGTCAATCTGCAGGTGTGGGCGCCCCAGCGTTTCGTAAACGTGTTGCGCATCATTGCCGCATCATCCTTTGCGGAAGTCATTCCCCCGGAGCCATGGGCTCACATCGTACAGGTGTGTGTGTCCTTAGGGCGGAATGCCAAAGGACCAGTTAGGCCTCAGCCTGCGACAGAGGTCTGTCAGACTTTCTTCTTAAGTACGTTTACACCCTAATTATAAGGCTTATGAAAGCTCGCACCACATGGTGTCTGAAGCGCAGAGGCGTCTCAACACTTCTTGTCCATAGTCGGGTGTCTGTCTCGCCTGACATGCACATGTTTACTTGTCAGGGTGTGGCTTCAGGATTCCTCATCACCCTTTGGATGCATGGAGGGACTCGAAAAGTTTGCGAGACCATGGGATGTCTTGTCCTTCCTCACCATCCTGTGAATATGTGCAAGTCGGCGAGCTGCAGAACATCGGGTTCGGAGGAACTCGGAGCCAAGGCTCTCGGAAAACGTAGCTCGCGGAGGCCAGCGGCCTTCTGATGCGACAGGATCCGCCAGATTGTGCTGCAGTCCTTACCTGGGTGACCTCTCTCCGTCGTTGGACGGAGAGAGCTTTTAAACCCCCCGAACCCTGAATCCCCTGAGCCCCAAATCCAATCCCTGGCTCTGAACGCCCGCCTAAACCCAAACGCCTTTAAAACACACAAACCCACGCACCTCGGGGTTTCTGGAGGATCCTAAGCCATCTGTGAACTCCTTCTGTACAGAGCTGGAGAGTGCTAAGCAAAAAGTCATCGCCCAGCTGTGCTAGAGGATTCGGTGTTTAGGGGCCTCAATCATTACCTATATTGTTTTGGGGGGACCGGCTTCCTTATTATTCCTTATTATAGTTATTAGGGTTTAGGGTTTATAGTTATAGTATTCAGGATCCCAGAACCCGATTCTAATTATTATGGCTTTTACGTTAGAGTTTAGGGGCTCGGGTCTACAGGGGACAGGGCTTCGGATCTGCTTGCAGCGCTCAGGGGCTTTGTACCTAGAGTCTCCATTGTAGTTTTGTTTGGTTTAACCATGCACTTAGGATTCTAGAAGGCAACCAAAACAAGCACTACAATAGAGACAGAAGGTGGACTCAGAAAGGCTTATAGGCTGTCTGGAGGGTCTGAGGGTTCAGAATCACGCTCAACATCCCTAAACCCTAGCCCCTAAACCC